GACTTTGTTTCTTCATCCTGAGAGAATGAATTTAAAAAAAAAACACATTTAAAATCAAGCATTAGATATGCAAATATGTGTTCAGATCAGAGATACCAAAATTATTCAAATGATTAATTATTCATCACAAAATGTCAATTAATAATTATGAAGCAGAAAAGGCATCTTTCTAATGCATCTTTATTTTTCTTGGCCTAAAAAAGGCTAAATATACATGTTCAATTGACTTCTAACAAGTTTTTAAAATTCAACAAAGTAAACAAATTGTAAACAAGCGCAAACTCTGAATTTTAATGAGAACAACAAATATGCCCAAAGTGAAGGGGAGAGCAAAAAATCATAACAAAGAAAACAAAACCAAACAAAAACAGTTATGTTTATGACATATGTGGCCTCATGCTCACTCACCTGCTAGGTAATGGACAGCAGCCCAGCCTAGCCAAGAAAACAACCCAACAACCCAAGTTGTGAATCTGCTTAGCAATGTGCAAACTACCTGACATGATGATGTTTCTCTCTGAATTGATCAGACTTTGTTGGGGTTCATGGGGAGTGTTTTGGGAATTCCTTTACCCTTTCCAAATAGTCATTAGAAGAAAAGTTTAAGTTTTGTAAAATTACCTATTGTAATATCTGAAGTCTGTTAACAAACTAAGCATTACTAAAATATGGCTGTAAACAAAATTTTTCACATTGCCTTAATTCTAAAGAATGCCCCTATGCCAAGTATTATTTAGTTTTTTTCCAGGAAGATTGTATCTTGTCTTTTAAAATCATCAGTCTGAGCTGATGTGATAATATAGAAGAATAAACCATTATGGTCACTGCAATATGATTTATTTTATTTTTATCATTATTATTTTACTCTTCACTGACACCTGGTGAACTTGTCGTCTCTGAGACCGGGGGAGTTATTTTAGTCAGGGTGTCCCTGCCCTCCTGCTGGTAGATTAATTACACATTAAACGTTGTGTTTTCAAAACGAAATGATAAATCTGGACACATAAAAGAGGCACAAAAAGAATCACAGCGAGGGAGAAGAGGGGATGTTAAGAAAGAAAATAAGAAATTGCAAAAGTGAGGTATCAGATAGAAAGGAGAACGTAGGAAATGCAACTAGGAAAGAATTTTAAGATAATAAGGATAAAGGGCAGGGAGGGCTGAAAGGAGGGCCAGAGAGAGGAAAAGCAGTAGGGTGATTTTTGGTTCTCAGTTCCCTGGTGAGGCTGCTGGCGTCCGCGCCCTCAACGCCCCAGCCTTCCAAGTTGAGGCGAAAGCCACCTCCTCGGGCCTGCGTCGCATCCAACTTACTCCAAGTTTTCTGGTGACTCCTACAGGGCCCCTTTCCGTCCCCCCCCCCTTAGTGAGATTGACAGTCGCGTGGAGGAGGCTTTTCCAGGCACAGCCTTTCTCATGATAATCAGCCCCCAGCATCACCTCCCGGCCGCGGCTGCTCCCGCTCGGAGCGCGGCTAGCGGACCCCGGGGACCGGAAACAGGGCGGCGGGCGGGGAGCAGGCGAGCGAGCCAGGTCAGCTGACCGGGCGGCGGGCGGGGGTCGCGGGCTCCCGGGCGGGGACAGGTCTGGGGGAGGGCGGTTGGGTGGGAGGGGGCCGACCCCCCCCACACCCCGCGCTCCTCCGCCAGTGTACCGGGGCCTTTCCTGGAGATCAAATGCAGGGACCGAAGCTGGCGGCGGGGGTTGGGGCGGGGTGGGGGGGTGGGGGCAGAGCGCGCGGAAAATTGGGGACAACAAGCAGACCTGTTTAGCATCAATAAATTAAGATGCTCATTTGGGTCCTGAAGTTTGCTGGTTCCTGTCAGTGGAGACGTTGGCAAAAGCCCTGAAGCCGAGATTCAGCCTTTACTTCAAAAAAATAAAATAAAATCAACCCCTCAGCTGGCCGCCCCGCTGGGGCCAGGTGACGTGCGAGATTCCACAGCCTGCGGGTCTCGCAGCAGGGATGTTAGGGACGGTCTGAGCTTCTCTGGTCCTGTTTTGGTTTTGTTTGAAAGGGCTTCTCAGAGAGATGCTCCTGATTTTTTTTTTTTTTTTAATAGACTTTCCCCTCCTATCCTAGGCTCAACTCCGAATGGATTGGATTGCAAGCCTGCACGTGAGAAAACCGTTTGGCTTGGCTTGGACCCCTGCCGCCCCCCACCCCCTCCACACACACCCAGTCCAGGGTCCCTTTTATCACCCTTTGCTTGGAACTCCAAAAGAAGTTGCCCACCTCCTGAGTCACAACACAAGGTCGAATAATTCCTCCAGATGAAAGATCAGTTCCATTTCAAAACGAGAATAGGTTCCTTTTTTTATTTTCTCCACATGGTACAAAATAAACAGAATTTGCTTTAAAAAAAAAAAAAAAAATCATTAACTATGGCCAAATTCGAATTCCTGCTACAGCCTGTGTGTTCAAGGGCAGAAACATTGTATCTCTTCGGGCATCTGGGCCGCCAAGCTGAGCGGGGGGAGGGGGGAGCGGCTGTGAAAGTTGAGGAAATTGACAGACTGAGAGGTGAATGGGGGGACAGGCATCAGGTCTTGGCTGGAGGGAATTGGAAAACAAAAGTGCATCCTTCTCACCCTGCCTGGGTGAAGGGAATCCTGAGGGAGGCAGTTTGTTTTGCCCATGGAAACCCTAAAGAATTATTTTCCCCCTTCAATGTTGAATGCAATATTATTTCACATTTCCGTGTATCTGTTGTTTTAATCTCTTTCGTCTACGCTAATCTCGAAGTGGATTATTAATAGGGAAGACAGAGAGAAGGAGCGGTTCATTTGCAGGACTTATTTTGCTGTGTGAGGAGCCGAAAGCCAGCAGCCCCCAGTTCTCTCTCGACTTTTCTCTGCGTCCTGCGCTCCTGCATCCCCCTGATCCCACGATCCCCATTGTCCCCGGACCTGGCCCTCGGACTGAGATAATGTTCGGAACAAATTTAAATTCCGGCTTCCTCCGGACCCCATCACCTCTGCCACGTTGGGAACTCTCTCGGCCAAATGCCTGGGGAGGGGCGTGCCAGTCAGGAACGAGGGGCAACCTAACCGCGCGTTCACCCCTCTGAGAGACCCTTCCCGTGCCAACATCCAAACATCCACCTTTATGGGAACTTGGAAGGTTGCTTTTTTACCCCAAACCAAATACAACATTTAGCCAGTCGGAACTCCCAGTGCTAAATGTTGAGGACTGTCTGCTGCCACTTGAACGATTACTGAGTCCAGGGTAATCAGATGATTAGGTGTTTTTAGTGGAAATACTTAAGGGTCTTTTTTTTTTTTTTAAGTCAGATCCTAAGTAACCTGACATTTAATATACATAATAAAGACAAGTGTTTTGTTAGCTATTCGATTAGATCCTTTGACCTGAGGTTATGCTTGTGTGCGTCTGGGCTGTAAGCCTCCAATGGCTACCTGGATGCCTGAAGAGTATTGCCTGGAATCACTCTATGCAATGGGCTCCTTCTTCCTTAGGAGTGGAAGAGGAGTGGCTGTAAAGCAAACTTCTAGAGAAAGCTGGACTCCAATTTTTTAAATTAAAAAAGAGAAAAAAAGGAGAAGAAAAATGGACAAGAACAGTGGTGCTAAATCTTAGAAGAGGAACTTGATAAGTCACACATATATTTAGTATAGCTACATAATAGTGAAAGAAATGTAAAATATAAAATTCAGAATGTATCTGACCCATGTTGAAAATATTTGATTTTATTTATCAATAATTTTAAGCTGAAGATCCTGAATGCCTTTCTTCTATAGACACTCTATCTGTGATGGGGTGGGGGGAGAGAGTTAATTTACCCAGCTGCTATGTTCATTATAATAAATATTTAAATTAGGAAAGAGGTGAGTCTGTAACCAACTGTGAAAATCTTTTCTTGCATTCTAGAACAAGATCTAGCTGTGGTCGTGCTAGGTAGCTATTAACCACCCCCTTCCCCCCCCCCCCCCCCCCCAAAAAACATACAAAATACAAAGACGTGTACCTCTGGGAATGTGGATGTGGCAACCCATGTGGTGGTTTGTCCCTCCTTTGAGTGCAATTGCCAGTGACTCTTGCATTCAAAGTCTTGCTTTAGGCACACATTCAAAGCATAGTTCAAAGCAGTTTATCTTAATATAGTGTTGGATCAGGGTATTATTTGTTTCAGATTTCATCAGACTGGAAACAGGAGGGTGTAACATATTTAACAATATTAAAGCTTAAAAATTGGTGTGAGGCACCTCTCTGGTCTTCACACCTCTTCCACCTTTACCTTTCCAAAGGATCCTAAATGCTGTGAGACTAGAAGTTTATTTGTGCTCTGAGGTTCTCAAGCACTTTCACTCTTTAGGGAGGAAAAAAAAAAAGTCTTAACAGTTCTTTAAGAAATTGAGCCTGAACCATCCGAGGATAGGAGATTTCTTCCTTTTCCGATAAATGCCTGTGCTCAGCATCCTCAAATTTGGCTGTCTTTATTTACTTCTATATTAGTTCCAATTATGTGCAGTGTAAACCAGCTTTTTGATTAACAAAACAGCAGAGCATTGGTTAAGAACACTTAAACTTCAAAAAAATTCCCCTGGGAAGTGGGCTCTGAATTGGTTAATAATGTGCAGTACTTGCTAAATTGCTGACTTCCAGATGTGGAAAATATCTTTCTTGTTTAGGACCTATGTAACCTGATTGGATTACGACAGAAGCGTCACGTTGGAAGCTTTTGAGTGATTATTTAATTAACCATACAGTAGAAAGCTGTATTCTCCAGGAAATCCCTTCCATATTTGCATAACCAATCCCTTCAGAGCAAAGGTGGAGTCTTTTCTTTTTAATTTTACTTTAATTGTAATATCAAAAAATATATACTCCAAAACTTAGACCCCATGCCGTTTAATATCATGCTCTTCCTTCCCTGCTAAGTTTCTCTGTGGCCTTTTTCTTTTCTCCTCCTGCCTCCTTACACTCTCTCCCTCACTTTATAGTGAGGTCTCCCTGAGATGTAGAGAGATTCAGAGATCGGGAGTGTTCTATGTTAATTTACTTAGAGACCCTTTATTAAAATGCCAAACTACTTTTTAATATTAGGATCCAATCCAAAAATTCATCACACACACACCCTAACACACATGCCCTAAGATGCATCTCTCATGCATTTTTTTTTCTGGCTCTGGTACCTAAAAAGAAAAAAATAATAATAATAAGAGAAAGGGCAGATAATTTTGTTCCAGAAGCTGTGCTGAGATATCCACACAATTTGATGTGCATCTCAAATCTGATCATTAGAGATATCTGTACAAGAAGAGACGATCTGGATTTGAGATTTGAGGACCCGGGATCTTTCCCTTTAACTTTCGCCCCATAGAGTTCTCCAGTTCTGTGAATGGTGTGCACGGTTTTCCGCCCTGTACTCTGTAGGATTTAGTGATGAGGATAATGATGCCAAAGGCTTGACGGGCGGGGGGGGGGGGGGGGGGGGGAGGGGGGGGGGGGGGGGAGGCGAAGGCGAAAGGGAGGGAGAGAGGAAGGGAGGGAGGTGGAATTTCATTTCTTCCACTAAAGCGTTTGCGGAGACTTCAAGGTATAATCTATCCCAGATCCTTTCCCAGAGAGAAACTTGGCGATCACGTTTTCACATGATGCTCACGCTCAGGGCGCTTCAATTATCCCTCCCCACAAAGATAGGTGGCGCGTGTTTCAGGGTCTCTCGTCTCTCTCCTACAGAAAAGAAAAAGAAAAAAATGTCATTAGAAGAGGCGTAACACGTCAGTCCGTCCCCAGGTTTGTGTTTCCTGGAGTGGCCGAAAGAGATCAGTTCTAACCTGCTCCGCAGGAATAACGGTCCTGCCTCCCGACACTCTTGGCGAGGTTTTTGTACAGTTTGCTCCGGGAGCTGTTTCTTCGCTTCCACCTTTTTCTCCCCCACACTTCGCGGCTTCTTCATGCTTTTTCTTCTCACCATTTCTGGCCAAAACTACAAACAAGACTTCGCAGGTAGGTTTTTTTTCCTCCCCTTTTCTCTCATTTTATCCCTTTTTGGTGTGCTCGTCCTCCATCCTCCTTTTCTAATTTTCTCATTTTGAGTGAGGATGTGAGTTTGAAGTGAGAAGGGGTGTCCGTGGGTAGGAATTTCAGGTGGGTTTAGCTCCTTTATGGAAAGCTTTTCCCAAGAGTGGCTTCTTCGCTTTCTCTTACACACACTCTCTCTCTCCTTGCTTTTCTCTCCTTTTTCCCTCCCCCAAATAATTTCCCCTGTACCTGTCCATTCAGGTAACCAAAGGTGCTCTTTGCTACCCAGCCTAGGAAAAGTTTTATTGAGAATTATATGGCTGGAATAAAAACTCATCAAGGGGAGAGGTCCTGCTCTATTTTCGCATCTAGTTCCAATTCATTATATTCAGCAATTAGGACCTGGCAAATACCTGTTAATAATTACAAAACTTGGTCAGTTACAGACCTAAAAATTCGGGGGCAATTCTTTCTCTTAGACATGGCAGTTCATCCTCTCCCACCGAGAAGGCTGTTTTCTAAGCAGAAAGTTGTCTGTTTTTGTCTGCTTAGCGAGTTTCATTTCTTTATTTCATTCTTTGTGTGTGTATCTGTGTGAAGTAACACCTCACTTCTGTGATTATAAATAAAGAAGTGAAAGTCCTCATGGAACTTGAGTCGTTCACCAAAGTGGAGGGGGGGGCACTACAGCTGGGAAGAAAACTGCTGTCAGGATATCAGGGTATTAAATTAGGATAACTTTTAAAATTGTATTTTAAATGGCAAAGTGATATAAACCTGGATTTAATAGAAGACACATACACACATATATCCCATTCCATACTTTGGCACTGAAAAGTCGAGAGAGAGATAGCAGGAGTTCCCAGGAACAGTGATGAGCCCGGCTAACATGAATGTGTTTATCTCCCACCTACTGATATATTTTACATGCTCCCCCTGTAATGATGAAGGTAAGATTACTAACTCCAGACTTAGGAGTAACAGGCAAAGATAAAGTTTACAGCACAAATGTCCTGTCTCTCTCTCACACACACACATGCTCATAAAACTAGCAACTTTCTTTATTAAACATGTATTTATATGCAATCGTGTGTCTCAGGGTGAATACAGACAGGCCAGCTGTTTCATCCCAGACACTTGTGTGACCATTTCTTTATTTCAGGATTTCCCCCAACAATTTCAAATCAATAGGACAAGAAAAGAAATGATAAAATGTGTCAAACTTAAATTAAAAGTCTCCTATTATGTATGCCTAGGTAAATTTAAGGTGCTTTCTAAAATATCCACTTCCCTTTCTCTCTGCCCCCCTCCCTTCACCCCTCTCAGCAAACGTGTGGAAACTGATACTCACTTTCCAGGTTTTCTGCAAAGCTTCGAGCACAGGAGACAATAGGTGCGGGGCGTGGGGACTGAGTATGCCCGGCAGAGAAAGGGTTAATGGCCCTTGTGTTACAGTTTGCATCTGTTACATCTTTTATAGCCCCCTGTTTAAACTAATCCTCGAGGCACAGCATCTTCCCTACCTCCACCGAGTTTTCAGGATTCTCCTCCTCTCCTGCCTGCCTCCGAGTTTCCCCTTCTCCAAGTTTTGACAGTTTCAGCTGAAAAAATGCAGCGCCTCTCTCGATTTTTAGGTACAAAAGTTTCGAAGCCAGAAAGGATACGATCATTTAGTAGAGCTTAAAAGTATTGCCGTAGCGGTTGGACTTTCTCTTTCCTTTCTTGAGGGAAAAAAATTTTTTTCTACTGGAACTATTTAAGGGAACCAGTGTGGGGGAGCATGTGTGTGAGTGAGGTGGGGTAAAATACTTAAGTAAATATTGTCAAAGTGGCGGGGGTGGGGGGTAAGGGACAGTGTCCAAAGAGGCTTATAATTATATTTCTTATTGCGGCGTAAAACGGGAAATCTTAATTTGGGGGCGGGGGTGGGGGAAGAGACAGTGCCTCGATAAACTCCGAAAGGGGAGGGGAGGGGGCGCTGGGCGAGTGGGCTTCCTATAATTACTATTATCAATTTGCCCGAGTGTGCTTCATCCAGGGGGCTGTTTCGCCTTGTTTGTTTGTTTGTTTCCTCTGGGAAATGGGGGGTGGGGGGATGAGAAAAGATGAGAGCGAAAAGAAAACCTCGCCTCACCCCAAGTTCCCGAGCCGGGGGCTGAGGACTTTTCGGAGGAAAGGGTCCGCCTAGCCCTGAGTCAAGCGGTCTTACTGTACCGCCGTGTGCATTCCCTCATACGGTCAGGAGTTATGACTCATTTTGAAGATGTAATTCTTGTCTCTCTGATCCCCTCGCGGGTGCTACACACCAAACAGTAACAAACACAAAGCGCCTCGGGGCCAAGGCTGGGGGGGGGGGGGGGGGGGGGGGGGGGCGGGCGGATCTCGGTGCGGGCCGGGGGGGGGGGGGGGGGGGGGGGGGAGGGGGCCGCCGAAGTTTCGCTTTGGCGTTGGGGGGCGCGGATGGGTGCTCGCCGGGGCCCTGGCCCGGCTCCCCTGGGCGGCCCGCGCGCGTTTCAATGGGCGCGGGCGATGCCCACATTGTCGCTGTGTTTGGTTGCTAGATCGAGCCTGCGTGCTGCCGAAGCAGGGCGCCGAGTCCATGCGAACTGCCATCTGATCCGCTCTTATCAATGAAGCAGCCGATCATGGCGGATGGCCCCCGGTGCAAGAGGCGCAAACAAGCCAATCCCAGGAGGAAAAACGGTAAGAAGCGGCCCGAACCAAACTTTTCCGGGCCACTCCGCGGCTCGAGACCCAGTGAGAAGGAGGGGGAAAGGGAAAAGGAACCGAGGCGGCGGCTGCGGCGGCGCCCAGGGCTCCAAGGCGAGCCTCCCTCCGCGGCCGGCGCCGGAGCCCGGCGCGCGCGGCGGCTGGACCGGGGGGGAGTTGGGGAAGTGCTGGGCAAAGTGAGCGTCAGGCGCCCGGGGGCTCCGAGCGCGGGGGTCCTGCAAGGGCCCCGCGCCCCCAGCCCCGCTGCCCCCCTCGAGCCCCTGCCTCCGCCCTCCCTCCGCCTCCGCCTCCCGCTCCGCTCGCGCCCGGCCCGCCTGGTCCCCGGCCGGGCTTCGGCAGCGTCCGGCGACGGCAGGGCGGGGGCCCGGGCGCCGGGTCGCGCAGGATCCTGGGGCGGGGGCAGGGGTGGCAGAGAGACTGCGAGGGTAGGAGAGGGGACCGGGGCTGCGCCTCAGCGAGGCTGAAAGTTTCTTGCCGGAGTCGCCCGGCCGCCTCTCGGTGCGCCAAGTAACGGTCCGCGGGCAGCGGGGCCCGGCCCAGCGCGCCCAGACCCCGGGGTGGGAGGGACTCGGCCGACCCCGCGCGGGGTCCGGCGAGGTCGGTGACGGCTCGGGGATGGGTGACTCCTCTCCAGCAGGCTCTGGCCCCCCAGGCCGGGGACACTAGGAGTCGCAGGGCGCAGCGAGACTTTTCCCGGCAGTTTCTACATGGTCTGGAGGAGCCCGTTATCCAGGCTGAGTCAGGAAGGAGGAAGGAGATGGGGGTGCGAAGGGCACACGCAGATCCGAGGTGGGATATTAAAGCGGGGGGGTGGTGACAGTTTGGTAGGTCCATCTTGGAGACAGCCAAAGAAGAGACGGGGCGCGGGGGGGGGGGGCAGAGAGAGAAACAGAGAGAGGAAGAGCGAGAGAGAGAGAGACCCCCTAGGTACTACCCCAAACAAAATCGTGGGAATAAAAGAGAAAAGTGATTGGCAAGAGCGCGGAAGGAGCCTGGGGGAGGGGAGAGGGCTGGAGACTAGCGAGGGTGCCGGGGGGGTGGGGGAGCTGACGGAGGATAACTGAGTTTAAAAAGAAAGAAACCAACCCCCGAAAACAAACAAGCGAACAAGCGCCAGCCCAGACTCGGAAAGGAAACTTCTCGCTCCCCTCGCTCTCAGCCGGATCACCCGGCGCGGGGCCGCGTAGACGCTCCCGAGGCAGGCGCGGGGACGCAGCGACCACCCGGCCTCCCGGCCTCCGCAGCCCCAGCCCGCGCCTCGCGGGGACCGCCCGGGCCCACTTGGAGCAACTTTCCTCTAGAGAAGACAATTGTGCGCGCCCCTGGCCTACCCCAGAGCTGCGCGGCGCGGGGAGGGGGCGGCTAGGGGCGCAGTGTGAGGTGCTGGAAGGAGCAAAACACAAAGACGAGAGAATTTTGATTAGAGACAAATGATGCTTCTCTCTCTCTCTCTCTCTCTTTCTCTCTCTCTCTCTCTCTCTCTTTAGATTTTGTGTGTGTGTACGCGTGTGTGTGCGTCTGTGTGTCTTTTGCTTGTTGTGGTGGAGGTGTCGAGCCATATGGGGGAGTGATAGAGGAATTTTAGTCAGAAACTGTTCGTTACGTTATCCTGCCTTTCCCCTTTGTGCTGTCTTTGATCTATTTGCTTGGCTTAGTATTACAGAAAAACAAGTACAATAATATATTCCGAGCTGCTTCCCTAAGATTCAGTTCAAGCTGCTGCTTTTTAAGTCTCGCCCTCTCTCTTTCCCCCTCTTCCTCTCTCTCTTAATTTAATTTTTTTTCACTCTGGTGTCTGGCATTATTTAAGGTGGTCCTTACACAGGAGACCTCCCCTTCCCAATCTCTGAGTAATTTAGTAGACACTAAAATTACACCTAATGTCCCCCTCTCCTCTCTTGTGTTTCCTCTGTTCCTTTTATTAAATGTTGGTTATTGATTTTCTAAAATCAATGTCTGTTGTGGGGCTTTTTCCCCCCTCTTACAAGTATCTAAAGCACGTTGCTGATCAACTGGATAACAAAAGCTTTGTGTCAAGGAGGCTTTTCCCCCCTTCTCTTAAACAGTCTTTTTTTTTTTTTTTTTTTTTTTGAGAGAAAAGAGAATGAGATTTAAAACAAGGCTCCCAGAAGTATTCTTCTGCAGGGAAGACTATTTAAAGTGTGCGTTTCTTCTTGCCTTCCTCCTTCCACCTCCTTCGGGATTTTGCCACCGATCACCAGCCTGGCCCCAGCAGCGAGGTCAGGCCAGAGCCCAGGTCTAAGGAAATAGAGGGATCCCGGCTTCCTGGGAACCCCTGGGGGACCTGGCATAGAGGGAGGCCGGTTGGGGGCTTCGCAGGTGGAATGAAGTGCCAGAGATGTCCGCAGTCATGGACACTGCAACCATTTCCCCTCCAACCCGCCACTAACTTGGGAGAAGCCTCCACATTCCGAAGTGGAAAGTTGAATTGCACATTTTAAGGCGTTTAGTCCAGATCCTACACACTTAACATCAAGCTTGTCTATTGCTTACAGCTTCTCTAACTTTGACTGTTACCTGTCTCCTTTTCCAAATAATCTATGGGAAAACATGCTGTATATTGGTTACTTGTCAGTGTTTTTCATTGGGTTTAATCTGACTGAGCAATGTTCTGGTTTTGAGAAGCAGGTAGTGTACTACCACCCCCACCTCTTTTTCATTTTCTTTCTCATCAAACACGTATCCAATGCCTTTCCCTTTGGGAATTGCTAGGATTTATCTGAACTGAGTGGATTTTTCTTCTTTCCTGGATTCATGGAAAAGATGTCACTTTTGAGCTTGTGTCTTTGCTGATAACACTAAATATGATGATGCTTATCAAAATCATATAGAAATTCCTGGAAAGAAATAATGGCAATAATAATCATAGAAGTAGAAGCTGCAAGAAAAAAAAAAAAGAAAAGATGGTCATCCAGGAACCTAGAATGGCACTTTATATAATTTTAATGAAGTCAACAGTGTATATATAGACTAAGGCGACAGGAGATAAAATGTGTAAAGCAGTGTGTGTGTGTGTGTGTGTGTGTGTGTGTGTTTGAAAGGCCAGTCAAGAACGTGGGTTAGAAGACAATGCTGTGTACATTTATTAAAAAGCAAAGGAGAAGGAGGCAGTTAAAGGAAAAGAAATGTACAAAGAGAAAAACAAGTACCTAAAATACAACCTTCCAGATTCTCAGGCTAGCAAGATGCCTGGCAAAGGCAGTGCCAGGGCCAAGTTAACCCATAGCAGGCAGTTAGTCTCCTTTCCCCCACATGGAAGGGATGAAATCTCTTCCCAGAAAATAAGATGTGCAGGAGGAAAGAGGGAGTGGGGTGAGGGGGAAGGAGGCAAAAAGCGAGCTGCCCGCAGACAAGAATGTGTGTCGGTTTCAAGAAAGTTCAGTCAGATGATCCTGTCGCCTGACTCACTTTGTAACACTTTCACTGAAGCTGGAGAGGAGGGGGAAACCCAGCCCCCCCTTTTCCTTTCCCCTGATTATACCCCACTATCTCCACACAGCCTTGGAGTCAGAAATGAGCTCTCGGAGCGGGAGATGCCCTGCTGCTGCTTGCCACCGGTGCGGCCCATTTGTAACTTGCAAAGTTTGTTGCTTTTGCCCCTGATTCGGGCAGCGGGTCCTGGGATGCTCCTGCTCCCCTCCTGCCTCCCACGGAGCTCAGGAAGAGGGGCTGCCTCCCCAGCCCGCCACCTTCCAGCATCAGCCTCTGAAAAATCTCACAGACACATGCGCGTTGTAGCAAAA